ATATATATATATATATATATATATATCCACCCCTTTTGGGAATATTGCCAGTTTGAATGAATATATGTCTGACTGTACCTAGTTGATATATATAGAAAAGTTCATAACTGATAAATACAGAAAGAATAAATCTCATTTTTATAAGAAACAGCCATATGAAAACACAGTTTTGAGCAAATGAGAAAGTTAATCTTTAATTCCCATTCTTGAAAGGTTGTTTTGTTTTGTTTTGTTTATCCTCTCTAGAGCATACTGTTTCCTTTTAATGTTGTTTAAAGGCAGTCATTAATTGCTTTTTAAAAATTTTTATTTACACAACTGAGCAGAATTAGTTTAGAAGTTCAATTATTTTATCTAACAATTACTATATTATATACATGTAATACTTTGTATCTTTTGATAAAGTATAATGGAAAACTAAGATGTAGGTGTCTGAATTTTGATAGTAATATAGCAATTCAAATTTGTTTTTTTCTTTCAGTGCCTACATGTTAATATTTCTTATTTTGTGCATTGCTTTTACCATGTTTTTACTAGCATGCCCTTCTACTTACTAACTTAGTTCATTATGTACATTTCTTCTTATACAACTAGATTTTAAATTCCATATGACTAAATCATTGCTTTACCCATCTTTTTATTGTATTTTTTTATCTGACCATTATTTCTGTCTCCTGAGACACTAGTATAATATATGGCATATATAAAATAGAAGTACAATAAGTCTGTTGAGTGATTGAATTAATGAAAGAATGGCTTCCCACTGCTTACTGTGATAGAATGTCAAATTAGGTATCATTTTTTTCTAATCCATGAAAGGCTTCAGTCAAGAGTGGCAGCAATTTTTTCCATGGCCAGCCATGCTGATATTATGTTGAGTTGTCTTTTATGGAAGGAGGAGCATTAATATACAACAAAAACAAAAGCAACTTCTCCTTACTAAGTCCTCAAAAATTTCCTAGACCAAGTGCAGTATCTGGCTCACCTCTGTACAGGTAAGGTTTCTCAGTCCCATACACCAGTCCCCTGAAAACCTAAGCAAAAATCAGTTATCTGGAGCATTCTGGAAGGACAGTTCTTTCAATTGTTAAACCAAAATTTATATTTTGTTAGTGAAAACTCAGTTGGTGAGTGGTTCTTTGTCTCTCTTTGACTTTTAATTGGTACAAGAAATAATTTCTAATTGCCTTCAAAGAAATAAAAAATAATAACTCATCATCTTTTGGGGTTAAATCAGTGAATAAGGGGCAGTGACATATTTCAAATTTAATTTATTGTAAATATCATGCAGTATTTTTACTTAGAATAATAGGTTAAATTAATTAGTATTCCAGGTTTTGATTTAATGGACTGAAGCAAATTCTTAGCTCAGTGTTTATAAATTTTCCTTAAAGAGTGAGATGATACCATAGTTTATTTAGAGACTTGCCAAAAACATTGAAAAATGATAAAATTCAGCTTTTGAAATTCCTAACTTAAGCCAGGAGATTCTGTTTTGCAACGAGCAAGGGTGTACCTGTATATAATTGCAAGAAAAAGTATCAATTTTCATGTATGAGGCTCAAATTAAAAATCTAGTACTTTGGTGTGGAATTACTCCAGTTTAGAGGTAGAAAGAATAAGTGTAGAAGTAAATTTTATGCATGGTATGTGTGGATATGAGAAATCTAATTAGCATTAGTAGAGGCTGTTCATCTTATTCCACCCAAACAGTTTCAGCTGGGTGTTTTTCTTTAGTAAATTAGGTTGACATTTTTCAAAGAAATTGCCCCTAGTGAACTCTTATTATGGATCTTCTTATGTGT